ACGATGCACCTAATGTGTCACTGCGGATTACGCCTTCTCCGCGCAGGTAGAGCACGCCAAGAGCAAACTCCGCATCACGATGTCCAAGATCTGCTGCTCTATTCAGCAACTTTACAGCAGCTTCCACATCTTGATCAACTCCGTGACCGTAGAATTTCATCATGGCAAGGAGGTAAAGCGGCTCGGGTTGCGAATGTTGAACACCATAAAGTATTTTCTGCATTGTATTTTCTTCGATTGGAGATCCTCGTGGTATCATGACCTCTTTCAAGTCATCTCGAGCAATAGAAACAATACAATAGGCTTCATCTGTAGTCGCAACGAGCATTAGAAGCGTCACCAGTCTCTTCAAGTTCATCCTTGAAAATCTCATGCAGTATAAAGATTAAAATATATTTTCATCCAATGCTATTTCTACTTGTTTTATTATTTTTATATTTCTACCAATTGTCTTGCTCTGCATTCGTCGGCCTTACTTTACACATCAATGTCCTCATCTGTTCAAAGCCAAGAATGTAACACATGAACAAGCTAGACATATATGTACCTGTATGGATCAAAGACTTGCATTTTTTATCTTCTGGTTCGAGCAATGGCCACCGCGCCATTGTCGGCACCAGTTACTAATTCGAATTTGTGACTCGAACACAAAGCGACGAAAATCCGATTCAGTCACTTTGCGTATCATCAGATGAGACTCAAGTGTACATCTGAGATACAGCAGGAAACTTGGACATTCTGGACTTACGTACTTTGAAGCCACCCGACGCTTCCATACATTGCAGCAGTTGGTCTTGATCGTATGCTGCCCGTTTTCGATGCCAATACATGCAAGAACAGGCACACATTCTATGTAAAGCAATGGTTGAACACGGTGTTGTTTTGTGCGGACGGTCTTAAAGATCTTCTTGAGGGTGATGAGCCGTCACAGAAAAGACTTGAGTCAGGTGACGATCATTTGTCACTTGATGATGACGATGACATGAAAGAGGAAGCGTATGAAAGTCTGGAGATTTGTGAAGACGAAGATAATAACGATGATGACGACTTCACCGGAAACGATAACGAAAAAATCAACGTCGCTTATTGCAATGCGTGATAGTTATGTATTTGTTTTGTTGACACTGAAGTGGTTTCACGATCGTTTCTGTTTCTTTCGCACGCGACAAATACTATCATACGCATGTCTACTGGTCTACGTGTCGATATCGCTTCATAGTTGACACCATACGCAGATAAGAAGCAAATGACATGTGGGCAGGTTAAACGTTTCGCACAAACAAAGCAAAGAAATAAGCGCCTACATCCTCAACTAGCATGATGGCGATAAAGGATCGCACTGACTAGGTCTTTTTCCGACTCTGAAACCAGGTTGATCAAGGACGCAGCGAGCTTGTAATTATTTATCTGCTTCTTTGATAACTACGATGAAGATACTTTCACATCTCAGGTCAAGTTAACAAAATGAAGTATCTATAAGCATTAATAATTACACTGAAAACATACTTTTCTTGTTAATTGATACAGCATGACCACACCATATCACTACCACAACATATCACTCACTACCATTGCGGTCAATGTCTGTCAAAGTCACAGCGACTCATCCACATTGTGAAGCCAAAGTTTACGGCACCAACAAGAAGACCCACAATCCATTCGTTGTTTGCTACAAAATTTGATACTTTGTTCCTATAGCTTGGTCTCTGCATCATTCACAAGATTAAACATGAATCCACAATATATATGTACATTACGCCAATAGATGCTTGTTCTTACCTTGTACTTTAATCGAAGTGGTTCATCTTCCGTCCATCTGTTTGCATCGGCTGCCGTCACAGTATGATCTAACCGCAAATTTACATCTTCAAAGCCGAGAAAACTTCCTTTTTAAATGTTGGTCTTTTAAATGCGGCATGTAACAAATCCCCCATATTTGTCCCCACTGGAACCTTTACTGGTATAGCCAGGTCATTATAGTCAGCGACAAATACTTGGACTGTATTCTCTGGGATCTTTGGTGTAGCTGCTGACAAAAGTGGCAGTTTTGGAGATGAAGAAAGAGTTCCAAAGCTCATGCTTCTTTGATCTCTTGAATTTCTAATAAGTCGGACAACGATCATTTCGTTTTCTGCCGCATCTCAAGAACATGATACCCTCTCAAATCGACGATATGACTAATAGCCAACGATTATTCATCATTTTCCTTCAATCTATGTGAATAGGACACCGATGTATCTACTGAAAAAAACTGATGCAGCCATTGAAAGATCAGATATACATCATGTAGCCAGCCACATGACATTATTAACTCAATAAAAATTTGTGAGGATTTTGACATTAAGCGATAAAGGTTTCGTTGGAGCGATCTGAGTGTGGATGAGATTTCACTTTCAGTAGTTATAAAGGACAAATCGATTCCGATATTTTAACTGAGGAAGATTGAATATGATAAGGAGTTTGATGATTTCAATGTCGATCTAAATATTAAGGTTTTCCAAGTCGAGATACTTCGTCTCATAGTACGAATCCTGGGTTTGGACCTGTTAATTAAACTATTGTCATGCTCTACAAGCCATTCAATCATTATCTTACGAATCAGTTTCGTGGCTGCTCACTAGAAAGCATGAGCTATGCAAACCCTAATTACTTCGACGACAACCACGGCTTCGGTACTACGGCCATATATGAGAGTCAAGAGCCACTGGTGCTGTTGCTGTTCCCATCACGCTGGCCAGCACGCATTGTCATCATCTTCTTCACTGATCTTCAGAACCACCGCGTTATTGTCGGCGCCAGTTACAGTCACATTCGAATGAAGGCTTCATGAAGAGAATCCGATTCAGTTGCTTCGCATATCACCAGATGAGACTCGAGTGATACAGCAAGAAACTTAAACAGTCTGGACTTACGTACTTTGAAGCATATGGGCTAATGGACAGGACCAGTCGGATCTATTCAGGACATTGCGTGCCACCCGACGCTTCCATACATTGCAGCAGTTGGTCTTGATCGTATGCTGCACGTTTTCGATGTCAATGCACGCAAGTACAGGCACACATTCTATGCAAGCACGGTAAACACGGTATTGTTCTGTGCAGACGATCTTAATGATCTTCTGGAGGGTGATGAGCCGTCACAGAAGAGACTAAAGTCAGGTGACGATGATTTGTCACTTGATGATGGCGATGACATGAAAGAGGAAGCGTATGAAGGTCTGGAAATTAGTGAAGAAGATGATAACAATGAAGACGACGTCACGGAAGACGATAACAAATAAATTGGCGTTGCTTTACAAATGTGTAAATGCGACTCGAAATGAGTTTTTCTCGGACCGTAGCGGCCAATTATCAGAGAGATGATGCAGAGATTTTGAAATCAGACACTGAAATAGTAAGTCGCAACTTCAAATAGGCTCGGATCCTGGAGTTATCGAGTGACGACGGATATGGCGAATGTTAGCAATCATCACGGTGCAAACTTCGCGCACCTTCAAAAGCAGATCACCATAACATTCAGGTATTCGAATGGGAGTAAGCACTTCAAGTTGCTCGAAATTTTCGACATATTGCACAGTGCAGTTGCTCAGTGCTAGCGTATTATCCTAACAATTTCAATTTTGTCTTCTATGGCTCTGATTTGTTGCAGGATTCGCTCAACTTCGCAATGTCTTCTGCCGCAATGTTCATGCTAGCCACATTTATACGAGTGGAAAGCTTTAGGAGCATGTGCACAACACTCTCAGCTGCGGTCTTGTTAGTTCACGAAGCGATGTTAATGAGCGTTTTAACGTAAATCTCTCTCGTCTGCTTGCCCGGTACGTTGACCATCGACTCAATTGCAAACTCGCAACCTTTCTACAGTCAGAGCTGACCCTGAAGCTCACAAAAGAGCCGATCCAGCGCCATACTTGTGTGACGACGGATTATTCAGGATGTTCTTTAGCAGCTCTTATCAGGCCACAAGCATGCCTTCATCCCCCAATTTACTTCCGATTGGTGAAACATCTAAATGGGTGTAGCACAAAAGCGCTTGATCTCCAAACCTCAAAAATACCTGGATCTAGCATACATCTACCACCATTTGTTTTTCGCGACCAGAAATAGTTGGAAAACTTGGTAAAATCAAGAACGTACTCCTGTTTAAACGAGTCTCACGACTCATTCCAGTCTTTGAACCAAGTTTACTGCGCTTCGTTTGTTCTCGACTTTCGACTTGTTTTTTTGAATCGATTGAACATGCCTTTGCGATTGCACGTCAATCGATGAGAGCTAATCATCTTTCAATTGTTCTGAGAGCTCATAAAGCTTAATAGCGAGACAAGCGAAACATCTTGTCTTCATTGCTTCCATAATGATTGTTTCTTTTACAACCACAGCATTTCTTGCGATGTCTAAAAGTTCGCATAATTATACTTTGAACATGCTATCTGGTGCCACGTTGAAAAGTATGTAGTGGTCACTAACCGTCTCCGTTTTTTAAAGATATGATACTCGTGTCAATATGGTTGCGAGTTAGTTTCTCTTCAATTACTGCATCAGAATTAGAATTGTCGCCGCGAATTCTTGTCCTTAGTTGGGGTCGCTTCACCGAAAAGTAGATAACTTTTTTCGTTAAAGAGAATGATGTAACGTGGCTGACAATGTGCGGAGAGTAGTCTTCACTATATTTGAATGGATGAGAACTACCTTTCAGTGGATACGTCGCTATCTTTCGTTAAGTAGACCAGAGTATTCATGATATCCTGTTGAATACACATCTCACACCGGCAACTGAAAAATGTTGATGTGATTTGACATCGGAAATATCTTTATCGCTGCAGGTAACATTGAGCATTGTTGGACTTATTAAAATGACAAATGATCAAGTTGTTATGAGTTTTGAAGCACTGCGTTCACCCTCAAACCTGCCACTACTCCCAGCAGTTCCAATCAATCCGGAGAATACAGTCACAGTGCATGTGCGTGACTACAACGGCATCGCCCAGCCCGTGGTAGTTCCAGTCGGATCAACTTTGAGTGAATTATTAAATGCCGCCTTCAGAAAGGCTTCGTTCGGAAGAGGAGCCATTCTTGGCCTTGAAGATGACAACTTACAGCTATATCAGTGTGTGACGGCAGTTGATGCCACTAGATGGACGGCCGACCAGCCACTTCAAGTGAAGTACAAGGTGAGCAAAGGCGTCTATTGAAGCAATGTATCACTTAATGTTGTAATGTGGATCGAGAAACATTTCCTGTCTAATCTTGTAAATGATGCAGAGACCGAGCTGTTGTGAAAAAATGGGAGAATTTGCAGATCATTACATGGGATGGGTCGTAGCCTTTATAATGTTATTGCAGCTTTATGCTGCTCATCGTGGATAAAGTGTTTATAATGGTCATGACAGCAATTGGACCCGCAGTGGTAGTGACGTAACAATTAACACGAAAGATTTTGCTGCAACAGGTAACTGTGTTGATACTCATGTAACTTTAATACTTTTACGCGGGATGTGAGCGCGTCTACATCATGGACGCAGCAAACTCACCGCAAGCTTGAACCAACCTGTTTCATTGAAAAATAGACCTAGTGATGTCAGTGCAATCAATTAATGGACGAGGACGGCAACCTGACGCGAACATTGTCACTATGAGCATATAGCTCTCAAGGCATGCATTTTTGGCACGAGTCGCAAGCTACAGACCTTTGATAGCAATCCAAGCACAGACATCTCTGTTGTGCGCCTTGTTCTCAAAACAACGTTCAAGCACCCGATGCATCACCACTTGAACGATAATGTGGATCCACTCGAGATCAATTGAGCAATCCTTACGGCTTGACACCGTTTACCCCAAAGCAATTGACCTACCAACCAGCTTCACTTGATCTGCTTTTACATATTGCTACCAGGTCACTTGAGTTCGATAAGTGAGCTTGTATATCGATGCGAATACTCTAATTATAGCGGCGAGTATTACCATCAAAACAGACAGTCTCTACGTTAAAGCATTTTCAGCTCAAGACATGAGCTATCGACTGTCGCAAAACGCACGAAACACTAAAGACTTACTTGAGGAACTTGAGCGTGATAAAGAATTTGATGTGTTACGTGAGTACCTTATGCGTTTCGAGCTGTTTCCACGACAGCGAGATTTGGCTGCGGCACCCATTCGTTTCGAGGAGTTAAAGGAATTGGCAAAGCATTGGAATTTGCATCGTCAACGATATTTTTGGAAGACAAACAGCACAAAAGAAGAACTTGCTCGTACGTTATACCACCACATCAATACGAAAATCATTCCGCTGGAGAATGGCGGTGGGAAAAGTAGTCAGATCAGCGCTGTTGAAAGTACTGCGCTCATACCGGAACCACCACCACGACATAATCCTGGATCAACGAGTGAGGTACATCGAAAACGAGCCACGATTCGACCCATACCACCGGATCGAGTTTTTCGTGCTGATAGTGTCTTTAATGGATACAAAGGTGACCTTTTTGGACAACGTGGAAATTATGAAGATGGGATGATTTACTTGTCTCGCTTTCCAAAGCGTGCGGCGCTCTTCAATACAAGAGGAAGTGGAGATTCGGCTGTCAGCGATAATCATACAATTACAACGTTGTGTTCGAATGATGGACAAGACAAGAATGACGATATGAAGCAACTTAGCGCAGAAAATGTCGATTTACTCTCTGGAACAACTCGTGAAACTCGTTTAAAACAGGAGTGTGCGTTTAGTATCTACCACTTTTCGACTATAACTGGCCATGAAAAGAAAATGGTGGCGGAAGGATGTATGCTAGCGCTCAGTAAATTGACAGTATTTGAGGATTTAGAAGTCAAGCGCTTTTGTGCCGCGTCGATTTTGAATCTTTTGTGTGAGTCGCCACTTGGGAGTAAAATGGCGGATGAAGGCATGCTGATGGCTTGTTTGGAGCTTGCTAAAGTACAGCATGAAGAAGTCCGTCGTCACACGAGTATGGCATTGTGTCGCTTTTCTTACGAGCGAGCGGGTCAGCTTCGACTCGTACAGGAAGGTTGCGTATCTGCGATTGTGTCGATGGTCAACGTTCCAGACGTGGAAACAAAAGAGACTTGCGTGAAGACGCTCATTAACATCGCTTCATCAACTAGCACGACCGTGGCTGAAAGTGTTGTGCACGTGCTCTTGAAGCTTGCCACCCGTACAGATGTAGCCAGCGTGAAATTTGCTGCAAAAGCTATTGCGAACTTATCTTTACTGAGCGGATCCCGTGCTAAGGTTTTAGACGACGGTGTACTTGATACAGTGTGGCAATTAGTGCACCGAAGCAGTTCCATAGACGACAAAGACGGTGAGACTGTAGGAAGTATAAGGAAGCACTTAGCAACTGCATTGTGCAATATGTCGGGAATCTCGAGTAACTTGGAGCGTTTGAATCACGCTCGAATACTTGAATGTCTTGTTGAGTTGCTCAAGTTTGATAAGCCTCAAGAAGTGCGTGAACTTTCCGCTGTGACGATTGCAAACATTTCGTCATATCCGTCGTCACTCAATAATTTGGTGCTTAGCGAAGCTTTGAGCAAACTTGTTGAAATTGCGACTCACCAGTCAAGCGTATTCGATTGTGAGAACACTGCATTATGTCTGTCAAACATGGCTGCTACAGCAGACAGCCGCGCTGTGTTGACACGGATTGGTGTCGTGCCGTTACTGCTACGATTTGTGGAAGAAGACGGCGGAGACCCGAATTTCATGGCTCAACAGTTTGCTATTTTAACACTTTGCAGTCTGCTAACACACTCGGAAACCTGTATGGAGCTTCTCCAAAGCAACATCTTAGCAGCGATCGCTAAGCTCGCAAATCGCACCCCACATGACCGTGTACGAGACCTATGCGCCAACGCTCTGTCTAACGCATCCTATAACAAGACTTTACAAGCAGCTCTATTACACAACGATACTATTCACATTATCGTACGGCTTTGTAGACGCAAGGAAGATACGGACGACGAAAGCGTGTCCGGTATGTTTTCAAAGCCTGCCACACCTATCGGATTAGGATCATCGACGGTATTGACGAGGTCTCAGGAATGTGCACTGGTTTGTCTTTTTAATCTTTCCTTCGTAGCCGCAAGTCGCGCTTCACTGGGGCGTTCTGACGTCGTGTCAACACTGACTCGAGTCTTTACCAGGTTGCCTGCGAGAGTTGATGAACCATCACGTCAATGTGCAGCTATCTTGGCCAATTTATCGTTTGACGTCGAGGCCTGCCACCGTGTGATGATTGATAATGGTATCCGTCTAATTCGTCGTTTCATGACTGCTGCGACGGCCTCTGCGGTGGCAGCGGCGGCGTCAGATGTCCCGGTCAGCGCATCCGAGCTTGCAATTGTCCGTGAAACGCTTCGTTGCTGTGCTACGGCGTGCTGTAATGTTGCGGTTGATGCACTTGATAAGACTCCGGTATTGGACATGCTTATCGAACTATCAGGTTCGACGTACAAGCCCACGACGCTGACATGCGCTATAGCATTTGCTAAATTAACACAAAATGCGAAAAACCGTGCCCAGCTCGCGCGTTCTGCCGAACTTTATCCGGCACTAACACTCATGATGCGTTGTGGTATTGAGGATATACAGATCTATTCAGCTGTGGCGTTGTGTAATTTGGCAGTCGAACCGCCGACTGCAAAGCCCGTGGGTATTCGTCACGTATGGAAGGAAGGCACTGTATCTGACTTCATCGTCAACGCACTTTTGCGTATCAATAGTGACTCTACAAAGGAGATTTGTGCGCGTGCTTTGTTCAATTTGCTTACGCACGAGGAATTACGCCCAATGCACATCAAAGATGGTGTTTTGTATGCGCTGGTGAAACTGGCGCGGCTTGATAGTGTCGCAATCCGCACCTTGTGCGTCACAGCACTGTACAATATTAGCTGTGAACCGGCACTTGTCGAAACATTGATGGAGCTGAAGGTCGCACAGGTCATCACGAAGCTGTGCGAAATGGAGTTCAGTAATCAAATAAATTATCGCAAACTTGCGGCGTGTTTGACCAACCTGGCGTCGGAGACAACCATTTCGTCGGATAAAAGGCCTAATGATGTCAGTGCGATATCGAGTGTAGCCGTGAGGCTAGTTGAGAGTGGGGCACTCATTGCTTTGCTGGTTATGTGCAAACGTGATGATTTTTCCACGCGACATGCGTGTGCTGCAGCACTCTGCTCTTTATCTGCGTATGATGTCAACTGCGAAGCGATAGCGACACTTGGACTTGTAGACGTGCTTACAAATAAGCTCTTGTCACATGCAGAAGACACAAACACGTCCATGGAGCGTCTTCAGCGGCAACAAAACCAATACGCCCTTAACGCGCTTTGCAATATCTCGCGTTATCCTGCACTTCACGACCGTATCATAGACGCTGCGGCATTGCCTCAAACTATACGAATTCTTGCTGCAAATTTGAACCAAGAAGACGATGCGATAGTCCTGATCTGTGTGCAAACGCTGGACAATTTAACATTCCACGCACGACATCGGCAAGCTTTGATTACACACAAACTGGTGGCTACTCTGCTATGCTGTGCACACACACTACGGCGTTCAACACAAGTAGGCGATGTATGCGCAGAGACTATCGCTGTCTTGTGTGAAGATCCACTCCACTGGCACGAGCTTGTAGACGCAGGTGCCGTTCGAGTTTTGCGTGAGCTTCTTTTAGATGGTGAGACACAATCAGTGGCCTCTCAGGCTGCGCTTCGAGCCTCTGTCTACGCATTGAGTCAACTTGTACGCTGTGAGAAGACAGGCGAGATGGTGCTGGCGGACGGAGCGCTAGATGTGGTAGCACACGCACTCGATCTTAAGGTGGATGCAGCAAACCAAAACGCTATTGAAAATCGCCAAGAGCTGGCTGAACGATGCGCTGTCATTATTCGGGCTTTGTCGACACAGAGTGACTCCGTTCGTCTCATGCTAATGCTGAATGCGCGCCTCGTGCCACTGATCAACACTATCGTTAACACGTGCTCCCATGGAAATTACCGTCAACGTGCTGGTCAACATGTCATCTTGGCTTTTTACAACCTTACATCCTGTCGTCTCAGTATGGACGATGTGAATGAAGAGAATGCAGTGGAAACCATGCAGGGTTTGGATACCATGGTGATGAACGGTGTCGTCCCGTTGCTCATTCGCCTTTCTAAAGACGGGGGTAGTGATATGGCACCAGCCTGCGCAGTAGCACTTGCGCATGTCAAGCATCGCATCAAAGAGCGATTGGCAATGAGTCAAGTGCAGAAAGACCGCAGATTTGAACAGCGTGAGCTTCTTGAAATGGATGAGTTGATGGAGGACGGTGTCGTTACGGCATTGCTGGCTATGTTTGAGCTGGATACAGCCGGAATTCAACGCGTTGATCGCCAAGCAGCCACGATGCCTCCAACTTTGCCTGTCCTTCGTGTTGCTACGCTTGAAGACTGGACATTTCACGCTGGTAACTCTACGTTACCATTTGAAAGGACTTTGCCAGTAACCTGGGACTTTTGCGATCCTGCTAACGACGAATTGCAATATGTGCCATCGGAACCTCAATCTTTTCTGTCACTTCTGTCACCGGTAGTCTGTGCTTCTGGAGCTACAATCCAAGACAAACTTTATGGTCACTTTGAGATTCTTAAAGTATCTCCAGAAAAATGTCGATTGCGACTTGAAGATTCGCGTTTTGCCAAGCTAGCGACGGCATTTATCGAACCAGCTGAGTCGACGACAGATGGAACTACTGATCTGTCAGACGCTATTGCCATGGCCATCGATGAAGATGATGATCAAGCACGTTCGAGAGCAATGGACGACGACGGGAACGAGACGCGAACGCCTTCATTTGTAAACAAAAAACTTACGAGTCGTACATTGTTGGCACGAGATGCGAGCAACAGTGAAAATTCGGCCTTAAGTATCAGTCCAAGTTCAGACAATTCGGTGTTAGGACGTGTGCGTAAAACAACGTCCACACACGCAGTAACTAATCATTCCAGTCGTGCATTAGTTCAAAACAATCGCACGAATTTGCTTGGAAAATCTAACAGCAATCGAAGGTTCGTGCATGACCGTTTTAAAGATACAAGCTCCGGTGTGATTCTACCTAAGATCATTTAAGCAAAACTTATGATTTCTTAACCAAATTCTAATCTAATCCAACACAATCTTGGTCTTTAACTTGTCAGATAGATTGAGCTGTCGATCTTGTAATCTATGAATCAACTTGTCGTTGCCTTTTACGCGTAGAGTCTCGAGATTTTCAAGTGTCTCGAGATATTCCACTGGTAATGTCGTCAAATGGTTGTACCGCACGTCTAGCGTCTCGAGCTGCATGAGTTTGTAAACGTCGGTAGATAGCGTCGTGAGTCGATTGTGCTGTATATTAAGCGTCTTAAGAGACTGTAGCGCAAATAAAGCGTCAGGTAGCGCACGTAGTTGGTTCTTGGACAAATCGAGACGCTGAAGACACGGAACTCGCTCGAGCGCTAGCGCTAGACGACAAGAGCATGCGTCACCCAAGTGCTCGCACATAAGCTGGTGACACACGAGATCATTGGAATTTGAAAGATTAAGCTCCAATACGCAAGAACCTAAGCGAGCAATATCGCGCAGACTTGTAGCAATGACCGACGTCGAGGTGTGACGTATATACATTTTAGTAAGGAATGGCTACATCGAGATAATTTCTTAACATTTAGAAATTTGTAGGATCAGGTAGTGTCGGTCAGCAATGCGTAGAAATTGACTGAAGCGGCGTATAGGATGAGGCCTACAAATACTAGGATAACTAAAATGCCTGCCTTGCGATTATATTCACCATAAATGCGCATTTCTTGGGCTTCGAGCTTCTGACGCGGTAATAAATAAACAATTGGCACTAATGCCATAATATTGATAGCACAATTTGCCATGATATACGACAACACTTGAAGGCGTGTATCCGAAGAATCTTGGGCAATGACTGCGTCCGAAAAGTCTCGTATGAGCTCGGTACTTGACGTGCTTAGTGCGTTTGATAACGTTAAAATTACCATGTGAATTACAGTCGTGTAGGACGCTACGAGACCTGTTGTCGCACCTTCAAGACAATTTTCAGTGATCTCCACAATTGGCAGTGATGTGACAAGCAGCACCGTTGCCCTCGAGATACCTAGCAGCGATAAGATTGAAATTGTATACCAAGCACTTCGAACTCCATTAAATATTGTCGGGATTGCTGCAATAAATTTACATATTATACCAAGCAATAATCCTCCGATAGAAAAGCGTACCCAACTGTGATTAAATAGTGTAAATTGAAAGACCAGGATCGATAAAATCAAGATTGTTTGTTTTAAAACAGCCCCAAAACGTTCATTATGGGGTGAAGCTCGAGCCCAGAACAACACAGCATCGTCGGCAAAGGTAAACTTGAATGATGTTAGAAATACAAACAAGCAGACGAAAACAAGGATACGCCAAACCGCTTGTTGCTGTAAGATACGCCATAATTGATGAGTGAGGGACGAGCGATCTATGGAGTCAACTTTAAGTTGTCGTGGTTCTTCTTCTAGACGTAAAAGTACAGCTGGAATTGGCATTAATGTAATTACTGCCATAAGAAGAAGAATAACCTTCATCGATAGAATCGCTTCGGTCGTCTTTGACTCTGTATTGTAACCAACAACTAGCGAAATAATGACATCGGATACCAAAGTTGCTACTTCTTGTATCAGTAGATATTGTACAAGCAACATACCGCGTTCATGAACTGGCTCGCGTTGTGATAACTCAATTAGAAACGCAAACGCCGAGATAGACGCGACAGTAATACCGAGACTTGTAGCCAACATCAATAGTACATACACACTTCCTCCATAGAAAGTTCGAATCCCAGTATTCATGTGTCCTGTGTTATCATCGATCAAAGCTACAATTACGAGCGCCATAAGTGCCAAGTATGCAAACATCCATCCACCAAGCATATATGACTTGCGATGAAAGCTACGAATTGGGTAGAAATCGGAAAGTAACCCAATAAAGAAACTTGCAACACCAGGTAAGTGAAGTAATTGTAATGTCATCGTACATTGGTCTGTGCTAGAACTCAAATAAACACAAAGAAGAGGTTGGAACGCTTCTGCAAGAAATGGAGTCATAAATCCTGTTGCAGCTGCTGAGATGGCCAAGCCGTAAAATGGATGCGAGAACAATTCAACCGATGCACCACCTCGTAAACTACCATACAATAAATGATTAAAGACTCCGGCAGATGGAGCTGTAGCTGCTCTCGTTCTTTCAGATGGTCGTATGACTTCTTGTAGTAACTGAATCGAGGGTGGAGCGGAGCTAGATCTGCCCACAATTGGAATTTCCGAGTCCATCCACAACCGATGACAGTCTATCTGTCCATTGTCGTACATTGTGCTGAGACTTGTAGCTATTTGAGAGGTCATAGTGGGATATAACACGTCGTCCACATCGTCTGTCGGTGTAGATGACTGAGTTCTCAGTGCTCGTGATCCTTTTGAACTACTCATGTTTTCCTTAATACCATCGTGGTCCGTAATACGATACCAGTCGTACACTGTACTCTCAACACAAAACGAACCTTCCGAAATGAAGCTATAGTCCTTAGACGAGCACTCGCTCGGCATTCTAATATACTCTTCAATTTCTACTCGAACAAAATAAATCAAGGCTGCAGGCTAGAAGTGGTCTGACAAAATGTTTCTTAATGTGCTACCATTTACTCTCCCGTTTGGTCCTTTACAGAACGTCTCTTGTGCTTCTTCGACCTCAAGTCTGACGTCTGTCTCGATAACATTTTTGTACCCGATATCAAACATCTGGTCATTTAGGGCCACTTAAATTGGGGGAAAGGCGCAAAAAGATAAAGAAAGGGCTAGGGTAAGAAAAGACATATAGGTTTTATTGAGATTTGAAATTGCAATATTATTGACTGCATTAAGTGAAATGTATGTATCTGTAAATTAAAGATGATTCGTTTGTATTGTATTAGGTTAGCGGTATAAATTGATGTATGTGGTATTGTCGAAATATTACATATATTAAAGCAAATTGTAACATTGCAATGCAATATTCGGTTATAGATTTGAAGGGAGACGAATTTGTCACGATGTACGGCTTGGGAGCATGTTCAGTTTTCTCATGGTCTTCGTGTCTTGAGTATTTCAAGATTGCTCATCGATGATTTGAAACGAAATTGAAATCGCAGCCCTACCTGACCGCAATTTTTGTTGGGTTAAAGCTAATTTCAGGTAGACCGTTCTAGTCAAATATTGTTGTAACTAATTGATAAAGATACCCACAAGATAACCAATGTGCTGCGAGATTGTAAAAGCATAACCTTGTATGCCCCTTATCCTGATTGTCTGACTGTGTGTTCACTGACTGGTGAAAGGGTGATACATGTTGTAGCATCGCTCATTGTAACACACTTTAAAGTAAAGGCATTAAAGTGCAAGCAGCGTAGCACACGTCATCATCACTCAAATGCTAGTAGTAATTCCTCGCGACTTGATTCAAGTCAAAGTGAAGCATAAATTATTCTTGCATGAAACTCAGCCAAGTTTTATTACCATAACCGCATTCACCAACCACAAATTTTAGACTAAAGGCTGTCTTACTTTCGACTCTGTAAGTGTCAACGACATCAGTTGAGAGGATTTTTTGCTTAACAACAAAGTGTCTCGCTCGAAGAAATCTACTCTATCTATGTAATTATGTCTTTTCCTTGTCAAATATGTCGGCTGAATGACTTATACGTCCAGAGCTGGACATCTTTGTCGCAAGAATGTATCTTTGCGTTGATTGGAGAAAAAGGAAATCTTCTTCACTTTTTTATCTTTCAAAACTTTTGATAGAATTGCCACAAACTAAACAATTTTTATACATGCACAATTTTATTTGCTGGACAGTTCTCTTGAAAGGATCAACTATTTGGTCTGAGATACCTTCTTTCGCTAATGAGAGTATATAAGGTATCTCTAGACATCGCACACGAGTGAAATGAACACGTCCCAAAGTTAGGTGCAGATCTACCGACAATGAAACCAAGATAGAATCATCCTGCAAACTGAACAGTTAACTATGAAAAACTATTGGCTTGTGCTGCGTGCGGAAAGCAGCGTTCCAGCTTCATCTCATAAGATTCAAAACAAAATCGAGAAGCACCGGCATTCGTCAGGTATCGAAGCGGTGACCAAGGCAAGCATAAAATGCGCGAGAAGTTACCGTACATTAGACAGAGAGGAAATTTTGACGCAAAAAGTCCGCATTAACAAGCGCACGGAAGCTGCATTCGTAAGCTCGTAAGCTCTAATCAATGTAATACTAAAATATGATGTGCGGCCAGCAGTCCAGTGTGTCACATACCTCCCCTTTGTGGCGCTAAATCATCTTTATGATAGCGATACTTCAGTTAATCTAAATATTCACAACAATGTCGGAGAGCAAAAAATACTGCTCATACAAATGTTCAGGATTACATTTGATACAATTGTCGGGTGCAAGGTGTATTAAAACTTTTCCCGTCACAGCCTTCTCCACAGATAGACATTTCTTTGATGATCTTTCACAAAAAGGACGCTACGCGAGCAACCGCCGTGCCTAGATTCTAACATTACCCTTTTGCGCTTAACCGTGCATGATTCAAAGAGCATAGTTTCCCAAGAGCACTTCCGCGTGTACACTCAAAATTTCATAAAATTGACACGCTCTTCGCGACCGACGCCCTAAAGGAGCTACTTATGGATAATGCCAAGGTGTACTCCCATGTAAACATTCGTAGTGCTCTACGAGTCCTGACTTAACACTCCGTATAAAACATAATGACAAGCCGTTCCATGAATAAGGCGCAGCCTCATCGCTGCATAAGTCTATCCATGCCCTGTTATTGGTGGAGCATTTCGGGACGCCTCGTCTTAGAGCTCACAACAGTGTCAAGCTCGTCACTCATGAGCCCGAACTGGCATGAGAAGCCGAGCATACTCTACTGCAAGTGCAATAGCCATGGCAACTGTTGCCCGAATCATCACGTTGTAATAACAATTTTTAACTGTCTGAAGTTGCTCGCCACAAGTGGATGAAGCCTTAATTTGATCATGCTTGCGGGCCACCCGCTCACACTATGAGCAAGACAAGCCGGAGAAAGTTGCTCCTCGAGCGCTTTCTCAACTCGCAGGTCCTCAACTACAAAAAGTGCAACCGCTTAGAGTAGAAGCGGCTGAAAAAAACACGCCCATGTTGCGAGTTGTGCTTTGGGTCTTCGGGGCTGGAGATAATTTGCACACTGGGTTCAAAAATACGGTGTGTTACCCGTCTTAAGTTTCTACAAGCCACCTTTGGCGAGGCGAGCGTATGTTTGTTGCATTGATTTATGCTTGACCTTGCAAAATTTAGAGGACGGGGGAAACATAAAAATAAACCCATCAACTCCATTTTCTTCTGTCTACAATCGCGCTTGTCTACAGATCAAGGATCATTGCTCTCTATGAGGTCGGTCCGCACTCACTAGTAGAACGTCCGTTGCGACGAGCAACCTTAAGTTTTTTCTCAGTAAAGACAAGGACCAAGGGTATGCCAGGTCAAAAGCGGTCACGGCGTCAAGGCATCATGCTGAGGTTGGACACAAGTTATCCTAAGAGCTGCTCGAAAATTGCCGAAAGGGGTGTAACTCTTATACTTTACCAAATACTGGTACCAGCCTTGGTGTACTTGCCAATCCACTTTACTTTCCAGAAAAGCCGCCATCCTTTGCTCACCAAGCAGCGCCAGCGGATGCCGACCCTTCCGAAGCTGACACTCGTGAACTCTCTCAATTGAGGCGGCACGTCTGCTAGAATTTAGAGCGGACGTCTCGATCTAAGACAACTCGGATCCCGAATTTCCTCTCAAGCAGGTGCTATCCCACTGCGTGGCATGAGGCACGCTAGCAACTTAGAACCACGTTGCTGCTCTGGGGCAGAGAAGAGCGCGGCAGTAGAATGATCAAGACGTTTCTGCGTCTGAGACATATCTATTTGAAACCAGTTGATATTCAAAGTGGTATCTTGGAAGACCCTAGTGAACTACTGGATGTGTATGTACTCTCTTCGCGATGCTTGGAACATCTGCAAAATTCCTATTCACTGCAAACGAGAGTGGTCCGATGAACTCCAGTCGCACATTAGGTTTCTGAGACCACACTGAATCTCTAGCTAAAATTATTGTTTTAATCTTTCCGTTCGATAGACCAGAATCACGCTTGTCGAAGGCTTGAAGCCCTAAAAAGAATTGTAGAACTTTCTGATTCACGTAATTAGCCAATAATTCAATCATTCACACTCAGAAGCTCAGATTTTGGATTATCGCGTTGACATTGTCCCCAGAAAAGCACGGCTTGTTTATATCGAGATACTTAAGCGCTTTACTTTGTATTAGTCATGGGCACAGTACTTATGCTTCCGACATGGACTTTATAAACTAAAGTATATTGTACTATTCTCCGCGAAAATTGAAAATTAGAACGTACCTGTTAGGTTGAAAGGAAAATATCGCGCGTGAGTTCTATAAGCAAATCCGCTTTTGACATGAGTCAATGTGTACAAATGGTGCTTACAATTGCGGCAAGCGACGCATTCTACGTGCAATTGTCTCAAGTGCTGGCATACAATATACTTTGCCTAGATGAGCGGTACCATGTGAATTTGCTTTTATTTATTTGATATTGGAAAAAATCATCACGATAAGATCATGTCGACCGTGATAGCTCACAATATATCTGTGCGAATGTGAACTAAAAGTCTGGCTGAAGGATAAGGCGCAGGGGGTGTGCTCGATCACAACGCTTTAATTTGCCTCATCTGCTCAGTCAATAAATGAAACCAGACCATGTTATCTTGAGAGAGCTCTTTTGCAGGTCGACAATCTGGTGTGCTCCGAAAGGATAGATGTTGCTGAAAGCTGTAGCGCTGATAACCCTTTATTAGCCATTGACACACCACTTTTGCTTCACCACATGCTATCTATCCTTGCGTCGACGCTGAGCATCTAAACACGGTGCAAATTAGTATAAATTGCATGTTTGGTACATCAACTGCCTCTTTGACATAAAGCCGCTCTCAAGTGCGACTTCAAGATGAGGAATCTTAATGCCTCGTCAGAGGCTTGACTGGTCTCAACAGCGCTAAGCTAACTAGCGTAATGGTAGATAAGCTCAACATAACGGCGCGAGATTGAGCTGTCGCCCACGGATCATTGCCCGGATAGGATTACAGTGATGAGCGTTACCGGTATCTAGACGAACCAAGGCTCAAGAACCAAGGCCCAAGCGGGCTGACGTGATATCCAAATGCTGTCCGGTCATAACATTCATTACAAATTTGTGCTCAAGTAGCATTGCTGTTTCACCCAACGAGTTAAATTCAATTCTGCAGTATCGTAGCGCAGTGCAATATAAACGGCGACAACTCTCTACCGTACAGATTTTGAGCCCAACTGTTGTGACTATTGCCGGGAAGACAAGGCAAGTTGGTTAGCAAGCGTATGAAAAAGTCAAGAAGGAGGAGAAGCCAGACACACAAGAGAAGATGTCACAGTATCAGCTTTGTTTAGGGAGCGTTGGGGTCGCCTGGAGGCATCACGAGACCGAACCGAGACTCTAAAGTCGAGCATTGACAGACAGCAAACGAACGGCGGGTAAGGATGTACATTTCCGATCATAATCAATTTGGATATGATTTTCAAGATGGTCAAGCGCTTGATATTGATACACAGATCAAGGCGGGGTTGAACTGCTCAGCGTGCACACAAGACTAGCATCGAAAAAATAGCGGTGTAGGAACTTCACAGGCAACAACACGCCGACTAAATATTTGCTTGAAAAGTTTACCCAGACTTCAAGGAGTCAATGACGCCGCAAAATGAATTCATTATATGGTCAAACTAACCAATTGCATAGTGAATTAGTAACGAATTTAGGCAACATGCAATGATGTGGCGGCGCAGAATGTCAAGCATATCATGACTTGATTTGAGCGATACCTTCGCTGACGTATACATCGTTTGTGTACTGATGGTGGTGGGGAGTACCGGGCATAAGATTTTTGATAGGGTAGAGGAAAATCTTGGCAGATCGGTAAAATGCACGATCATGTAAGCAATTAAAAGGTGGAGAGGAGACACCACCTGTATTGAACAGTGCGAAGCGCGGCGTTGCGTGGGAATCACAGCCGTTTTCTGTGGAGATGCGGTGGAACATGCTACCTGCACACTAGACGAAAGCCCTGTCAAGGCAAAATCAAACTGAAAATCGCCGTCGTCGGTGCTCGTAGATGAGCCTGACGAGAAATCTCAATAATGACGGACACTTTGAACTCAGGAGTTCAAATATTCAATCTTGATTTGATAGGCCAGATCGGCCACTATTAACAAAAGGATGGATTATGTTGTATGATGCGGTGAGGCTATCGACTGACATTAAGCACTTGGACGTTTGATAGGAGCTTAATATTTGAGGTCACGCTTGCTAAAAAGAAAGAACTGAGCTAGTATGACTCATTACTAGAATAGACGTGCGCTCGTGGACAGAGAGCCTACGAGTAACTTCTTCAAAGTATTGTGCTTAGCAATACTCTCACGAAAGCCTCCGTCATACAATTATTGCGACTCATCGTCTGACTTCTGACTCCTATACACTCATTGATTGTACCGAGCCGTCGCAGTTTATATATCGGATAACTCTTACAGTTTTCGAAGTAAATTTCATTTGTAGTAATGCAACTAGTCAGCTGGTTGAATGTACGCTGTTTGTAGTCGTGGAGTAATTAAATACAGTAATTACATCTGCTTTTGATTCACAAATACCGGTTGAAAAGAGGGCGGTTGGCGTAGCAGTCAGACAACATGATTTTGTTACGCTAGCCATTTTATACTAGTGCCATAGTACCAGAATGCGCTACAGATATACGCTTGCGTCTTTCGTTTTGATTGAAATAAATGGTCGCTTGCTTCTGTCTCTACAGGTAAAAATCTGGATACAGCTTTTCACAGCCGTTGTTTATCTTACAAACTATCCTCAAGGTAGCTAGCGATATTGTTTATACTTTGGAATCATTCCATGCCTTGAGTCGAGGTCGTTGCACTTCCGCGTCCGCGCCAAAACCGATAATGCTTTTATTAGCGGTAGGTTCATGACCCACCGACGGAGAGAATTATTGTTAAAACTTGAATGTTGAAACATCTGAACACTGACTCCGTTGCTCACTTGAAACCTCTCACTTGGCTTCGGTCGGTGAACAGCCGTTAAATTCAGTTTAACTGGTTATCATCATCTTCGTATGCTTTAGCACATAGAGGTTTGGCTCACATAGCCGCGCCTAATTAGCGTGACCGAAGATAATTTAGCATTATAGTAGACTGGTGCATTCCAGACTGCTCGTTACAAATCCACAATACATAAAGCGACACCATCCATAGAAAATACTGCGCCCAAACCAATTTATCTGTCGCAAAGCCCAGCTTCTTTTATCATTTGCATAATGACTAGTATCCCAAGTATCTCACGATTTTTCTCGCAAGCTTCCGAATTGGGTATGCTCGTGAAAAACACCACAAGAAGTATAAAGCCAGAGCTTACTTAATTTTTGATTGAAATCAGTTTGACTTAAACACATCTGCATCTCATTCGACCTTGTCCTATCGTTGAGATTCATGAGAATTGTGCAGCCATTTCCTCATTGCCTAGTGCACCGCAAAGCTAATATGCAGCCGCGTGCACTAGCAATTTAGAAGCTATCAGCAAACAATTTAGCCTTTTTAACATCGATTCACCCGTATCGTCTTCGTAACTGATGCAGTCGTCCTATATTCTGCCCTCGTTCTAATTCGTTGGTCTAACCACGTCCAAATTACTCAATCTATATCGTATCTTAAATGCATAACATTTATACTAGAATATTTCACTAACATTATTTTAACTTGATATTGTGATTGAACCACAAATATTGCATTTATTTTCGAGCCAGATGAATCTGCGGTACTCTACATAGAAAAACTATCACATTCCGCGTTTTTAGATGGTAGGACTTGTTGAAAAGCTCGTGTATCTTGTGGGGCGGTACGCTTTCTCCTTACCTGTCTATTCAGCTATCTTAGTCATATTCACTTATTCGTTTCATTGCAGTGCTTTTTATTCAGATGAGCATGTCGTGGTTCTTGGTGCTCTAATGCGAGAGAAGTTTTTAAAGGTCTTGCTACATGCGTTAACCAATTCAAACATCAATATTAACATAGTTGTGTTTAAAGGACGACGACATGGGAAATGCTATGAATCTACAGACGCGTCAAGTGCGCAAGATTATGAATGAGTTGCACCAGGACAATCTTGTCTGCGAGTCAGTTCTCAATTCGTAGTATATTATCTATTTATTAAGTGTAGATGATTACTATTTTCGCACTAGGGAAGTCTTGAATGACAAGCGGGTTGGTGGTAGCTCATCCACGTCGTACTGGTACATTGACTACAAGTACTTTGTGGATGTCGTGCAGTATCGACTTTACTTGATGCACGAGCATCTGAAAGATAGTGAGCAATTAGAAATTGAACGACAAACTTTTCAATGCAGCGACCCTGAATGTGGACGAGAATACACGGCACTTGAAGCTCAACTGCTTTTGATGCCAGGACAATTTCAATTTCGATGCGGTCATTGTAACGAGTTACTACTGGAATGTGACAATAATGATCGACTATTACGAATTCAGAATTTGCAACGCAAGTTTAAAGACCAAATGAACAAACAAAAAGGAAATCACGACGGAATTTATGAAGTGCTACGTCGTATTGGTGATTTTGTTAAGGAAGGTCATGCGTTACCAAATAATTTGCCCAGTGAAAATCGAGCTGCTGGACTTGGCGGCACGAGCACTCGTTCGACTACAAGTGGAGGAAGTGGTAACCGAGGAGGAGGAGCTAATCATGGCAGCGGAAGTAATCGTGGGGATGATCAGAACAGCAAATCGTATCTGTATCCATATGGTTCCCAAGACCAGGAAATTATAGTTGATATTGCTGGTACAAATCAGGCCGAAGATGATTATTTAACTAGTCGAGACCGGAAAGAAGACAAAGAAGTGGCGAGTCAACAGGTCGCAGCTCCTCGTGCATTGCCTGAGTTTTTGCAGGGCAGCTCAATAAGTGGTCACATGGCGGCGAAGCATTTGCAATCTGTGGATAGCATTACCGATGATTCGTCCATCTCGATGAAAACGACTTTGAAAGGTGTGCATTCACCAAGTCAAAGTGATATGACGGAAGAAGAGCGACAAGAAGCCTTTAAACGCGCTTATATGGCCGAGTTGGAGCGATACAATGAAGATAAGTACGAAGGAGAAGTGCAGATTCAGGTCGACAAACAGGGCTGGGACGCCGAAATGAATGACGATGCTATGGATGAAGAAGAACTGGAAGATGTCGAGTGGGAATGGTATACAGACGACGAAGGGCGTACGACTGATGCTGAAGTCACAGTGAACGGCCAGCCGAAGCGATTGGATGGCGTGGACGACGAAGATTTGCTCAATATGACAGAGCAAGAGTTTTTAGTAAGTTTTTATTGGTATATCATTTCATGAGATCAGAAGTGCTAATCAACGGTGGATGATAAACAGAGCTGCTATCGGATGTGTCTCGCGAACAAAGACGCGTCTTTATAACATGACCTGAGGATGCTCGCACATGCAAAGATGTAAATGCGAAATTTTTGGCAATGCAGAAATATAAAACTAACATTTTTTACCGCTAGTATTTTGTGATGACGGTACATGAACAGCGAAGATTAGCCTTCAAGTACATTGACGATGTTGCCGTGACTCGGTTCGTCGCTCAAAAGTCTCCTTCAAGGCCGTGTCAAACACTAGTGATAGTAACTATCGATCGTTCTTTGCCACATTCGACAATAAATTCAGCTGAAAAAAACATCTTTTGCGAATGAAGCCAAACAATTACGAAGACCTTGACAGCAAAGCGTATCAGTTTGTGAAATTTTGCTCCGTCAATATGTCAGTTATCTGTTCGTTTTTTCGTCTGGTCTTTTGTGAATGTGGTGCAATACGCTGTAGTACATCGTTACATCATCGCGATATGCGCTTTTGCATTTGGAGTCCGATTATGAAGAAAGGGTCTATCGGGCTAAATTTGCCCGCGCTAGCATTGATGTTCACGCACGAAATTCCACTTTTTCCTGTCAATGCCGCGAAGCTGACACACTCGTGACGAGCAGCAAAAACTTGTCGACAATCCTCTTCCGGTCCTTCACTTTCATTTGGTCACGTTGCTGCTGCAAGAGTCTGTTTCCGCAGCTGATGTTGCTAATTTCTTGTGCAGAGCCTTTGGAGTATACAGTTGAAATCAACAAAACTCTCATAATAATAATAAGTATGTTGACTTTAAATGTTCTGAAGACACAAAAATGGAAAAGCTGATCTGTCTTTTGGGTCTATCTGTGATAAATAGGTCATAAAGTGCAAAATATGATATAAATCGATATACGCAAAATATTGTCATCACGTTCCTGGAAGGAAAGCTGTGTATTCGCAGCCATCGTATTACAAGCAGTTTACCATGTTAAGCGAGAAAATTCTATTTGTATCACATTCTGCAATCTTATTTTTTGGTATAATAGATTGCAAAAGGGTGCATAGTGTAACGGGGTTAAACGTACAAGATGTTGTGACCACACATCATCTTGCTAAAGGTTCCACCACACGCGGCGAATATTTCAGACGTGCGCTTTTGTATGCTTACCCACCTATTCATCTTTTGCCACCCACACGTAGCGTTTACCCTGCAGTATGAATTCGCGGCCACTGATAGGGATGTCATGCACCACGTACAGTAATCGGTACTTGCCTTACTTTACACACGTGGCGCTACTTCACGCTATGTGTTATGTGCATCCGTGCTGTTATATAGCAAGCCTTGGAATGAGGCATAGCAGTACAGGCGTGGGACCGCGGGATTCAACAAATTGACGTTTACATTACTTGCTGCTGTACAAATTCAACAGCAGGCCGGCACATGTTGCGACAAATTTGGACGTCGTATGTATCGAATCATCAATTGGCGATGTAGCCGTTGTGTCATACGACAATTCATAAGTAGCGCATCTGTTACCATATGAAGCCGGTCCACCTCTTACCTTACATTAAGAGTATAATCGACAAAAATAGATAACCATCTTGCTATTTTTGATGAGAAATGTCAGCAGAACATAGATGCGGAAATTACGACCGATGAAAGGTTGAGTCTGACGTAAGACAATTCGATTGTTGAACTACGTGGGTTACTTTATGCGGGTTCACGTAATATCAAGCAGAACCTGAATTATAAAGTTGAAGCAGCAAAGATACAAGCTCGAAACTATCAAGTTTGCCAACTTTGATGACCTTGCATGCAGAAAGATATTAACGATGGAAGCACGTCTTGGCCGTTAGTCTTTTCGGCACAGAAAGTCAGCGTCGAGTGTGGATATATGCTTCTCATGACCGAACCCGACCCGTACTTTGCACGATCGAAAAGAATCAGTGACGTCACAATTTTCCTCTTTTGAGCTATCACCATATA